TGTATATGTTTGTTAGGTCTATTTGGTCTAAAGTGTTTTTCGTGTCTAATGTTTCCTCATTAATTTTCTGTCTAAATGATTCATCCATTGTTGAACATAGTGTATTGAAGTCCCCTACTGTTATTGTGTTGCCATCTATCTCTCACTTCAGATCCTTTAATATTTGTTTTATTTATTTAGGTACTCCAATGTTGGGTGCATATATATTTACAATATTTATATCCTCTTGAGGAATTGATCCTTTTATCATTATATAATGTTTTTCTTTGTCTGTTTTTTTTGTTTGTTTGTTTTTTGCTTTTTTTTTTTTTTGAGATGGAGTCTCGCTCTCTCACCCAGGCTGGAGTGCAATGATGCAGTCTGGGCTCACTGCAATCTCTGCCTCCCAGGCTCAAGTGATTCTCCTGCCTCAGCCTCCCGAGTAGCTGGGATTACAGGCACATGCCACTGGACTCAGCTAATTTTTGTATTTTTAGTGGAGATGGGGTTTCACCATGTTGCCCAGGCTGGTCTTGAACTCCTGACCTCAGGTGATCCAGTTGCCTCAGCCTCCCAAAGTGCTGGGATTACAGGCGTGAGCCACCACACCTGGTCTTCTTTGTTTTTATAATTTTGACTTAAAATCTATTTCTCTGATATATGTATAGCTATCCTTGCTGTATTTTGTTTTCTGTTTGTGTGAATTATCTTTTCTCATCTCTTCCCTTTCAGTACATGTGTATCCTTAAAAGTAAGCAGAGTCTCTTGTAGGCAGCATATAGTTGGGTCGTCATCGTCTTTTTTTTTTTTTTAATCTGTTCAGCTATTCTATGTCTTTTTTATTGGAGAATTTAGTCCAGTTTCATTTGAAGTAATTATTGATAGGTATGACTTACTACTACCATTTGTTAATTGTTTTCTGTTTTTTTTTTTTTTTCTTCCTCACTCTCTTGCTGTCTTCCTTTGTGGTTTTAGTGGTATGTTTTGAATTAATTCTATTTTTGTTTTGTGCTTTGACTAAATATTTTTGCTTTGTGGTTACCAAGAGGCTTACATAAAATATCTTATAGTTAAAACAGCCTATTTCAAGCTGATAACAACTTAACTTTGATTGCATCCAATAACTTTACATTTTTAGTCCCCCAGCCACATTTTATGTTTTTGATATTGAAATTTACCATTACTTTTTTTTTTTTTCTTTTTTTGATACCATGTTTCTCTCTTGTCATCCAGGCTGGAGTACAATGGTATGATCTCAGTTCACTGCAACTTCTGCCTCCCGGGTTCAAGCAATTCTCCTCCTGTGCCAGCCTTCCAAGTAGCTGGATTTACAGGCGTCTGCCACCACACCCAGCTAATTTTTGTATTTTTAGTCGAGACAGGGTTTCCCCATGTTGGCCAGGCTGGTCTCAAACTCCTGACCTCAAATGATCCGCCTGCCTCGGCCTCCCAAAGTGTTGGGATTACAGGTGTGAGGCACTGCGCCTGGCCCAGAATTTACCATTACATTTAATGTGTATATTTTGACAATTTATTTTAGCTGTAGTTGTTATTAGTAATTTAATTTTGCCTTTTAATACTTGTACTAGGGATATAATTGCTTTATACACCATCATTACAGTCCTAGAGTATTCTGAGTATGGCTCTGTTTTACTTATATTACTGAATTTTCTATTTTTGTAAGTTATATGTTATTAATTAGCCACATTTTGTTTCAGATTAAATAACTTTCTTTAATAATTCCTATAAGGCAGACCTAGTGGTGATGAGCTCCCTTAGCCTTTTTCTTTTTCATTTCTGAAATGCAGATTTTTCTGGGTAAAGTATTTTTGATTGGCAAGTTTTTTGCTTTCAGCACTTTGACTATATCATCCCAACCTTTCCTGGCCGGCAGGATTTCTGCTGAGAAATCTGCTAAGAGTTGTATTGAAACTCCTTTGTATGTGATGTGTTTCTTACCTCTTGCTCCTCTTAGAATCTTTTTTTTTTTTTGTCTTTGAGTTTTGATAGTTTGATTATTATGTGTTTTGCTGAACTCCTTTTTGGGTTGAATTTGATTGGAGATCTCTGAACTTCTTCTACCTGGATGTTGGTTTCTGTCCAGATTAGGGAATTTTTCAGCCATTATTTCTTTAACTATGATTTTTGCCCCTTTTTCTCCTACTCCTCTTCTGCAACTCCTGTATAAAGGATTGGTCTCCTATAATTCCTATAGGCTTTCTTCATTCTTTTGTCTGTTTGCACCTCTGACTGGATAATTTCAAATGTTCTCTTTCAGCTCACTGATATTTCTTCTGCTTGAGTTTGCCATTGAAACTTTTAATTGAATTTTTCAGTCCAGTCTTTTTATTCTTCATCTCTAGGATTTCTATTTGGTTCTCTTTTATTGTTTCTACTTATTTGTAAAACTTCTCATCTTGTTTGTGTATTTTTTCCAAATTTTATTTAATTTCTATTTGTACTTTTTTTTAACTTAAATGATTATTCTGAATTCTTTGTCACTCCATAGATCTCCATTTCTTTAGGGTCCATTATTAGCACTTTATTAGTTTCTTTTGGAGGTGTCGTAACTCCCCAGTGCTTTGTAATCCTTGTGTCTTTGCATTGTTATCTTTTCATTTGAAGAGGTACCCCCTCCTTCTGGCCTTTACACGTGTTCTTTGGCAGGGCTAAACCTATACTATTTAGTGTAGCCTGTAATTCTTCAAGGGCCAGCTGGTAATGACCCTGGGCAGGCAAAGCTAACTGTGGATTTTCTACCTGCCTGGGATGCTGCCTTTGCTCTGATATTGGCTGGGGCTATTGACTGGTCCTGCTGTCTGGCAAGACCACTGACTGGGCTCTGTTATCCCACAGAGCTACTGACTGGGTGCTTAAATATCTTCTGGTCAGACTAGTCACAGAATTTATTCCCTGGCTGGAAAATTGTGCTTTCTGGGATTGTGGGGAAAAGAAAGAAAGATCAGCCTGTTACTGTGTCTATGTAGAAAGAAGTAGACATAAGAGACTCCATTTTGTTCTGTATTTGAGATGCTGTTAATCTGTGACTCTACCCACAACCTTGTCCTTGCAAGAGACATGTGATATGGTCACTCAAGGTTTAAAGGATTTTGGGCTGTGCAGGGTGTGCTGTGTTAAACAAGTGCCTGAAGGCAGCTTGCTGGTTAAAAGTCATCACCGTTCTCTTAATCTCAAGTACCCAGGGATACGCACACTGCCAAAGGTCTCAGGACCTCCGCCTAGGAAAGCTAGGCATTGTCCAAGGTTTCTCACCATGTGATGGTCTGAAATATGGCCTCATGGGAAGGGAAAGACCTGATCCTCCCCCAGCCTGACACCCGTGAAGGGTCTGTCCTGAGGAGGACTAGTACAAGAGGAAAGAAGGCCCCTTGGCGGTTGTTGGCAGTTGAGATAGAGAAAAATATCTGTCTCCTGCCTGTCCCTGGGCAATGGAACATCTCGGTATAAAACCCGATTGTATGTCCTGTTTACTGAGAAAGGAGAAAACCGCCTTAGGGCGAAAGGCGGGACTTGCTAGTGCAATGCTGCTCTTTATGCACTAAAAAGGTTTATGGAGATGTTTACATATGTATATCAAGGCACAGCACTTTTCCTTAAACTTATTCATGTCACAGAGATCTTTATTCATATGTCTTACTGCTGACTTTCTCCCTACAATGATCCTATTATCCTGCCACTTCCTTTTCTTTAAGATGGTAAAGATAATTATCAATAAATACTAAGGGAACTCAGAGACCGGTGCCAGTGTGGGTCCTCTGTATGCTGAGCGCCGGTCCCCTGGGCCCACTTTTTCTTTCTCTATACTTTGTCTCTGTGTCTCATTTCTTTTCTCAAGTCTCTCGTTCCACCTAACGAGAAACGCCCACAGGTGTGGAGGGGCAGGCCACCCCTTCAGGGATTTGCAGTTGGGCAGGGCTGTAGGCTGAACTCCAAAGTTAAGAGAAGTTGCTGCTTAGAATGATGGGGGTCAGAGGATACACTCCTTAGAAAAGCACAGTGGAGGGTTGCTTCCCTGTTAAGGTGGAGCTTCCCTGCAGGGTTGCTTCCCTGTAAGATGGATTTTTGGCTGAATTGAGTTTGACTTCCCCGGTCAAGCAGGTCTAGTCCTCATGCTTCTCTGAAAGGCATGTAGATATCCTTGACGGGGCTTTTTAGCTGAGTAGAGCCGTGGATTGACTTCCTGGGTCAAGCAGGTCTACCTCATGTGTCTTTCTGAAATGGGTGGAGGTGTGTATCTCCTTGTCTTGGCAGAGGTCACTGGTGTGGGCTCTGAGACAGGGCACGGGGACTAGCTATCTAAGGCCTCAAGCTAGGTTGCACTTCCTACCATGCTTCTGAAGATGACCAGCTTAGCTTTGTAAATGAACTATGAATTTGACTAGTGTCTCTGATTGGGCACCACAGCTAGCAAGAACACAGAGGTAATGCCATGATCTGTGTGCTGGTCACTATGACCTCTGCCTCCTTTCTTTGTTTCTACTTGACACCAGGTAGTCTAGCTATGCTGTTACCTCCAGTGTTCTCCATGAGGTAAGACCAGAGTGGGATTTCTGAGAAGCATCCTGGAATACTAGAGATGCTGAATGACTGCCTCTAGTTTTCTTTTCCTCTAGTAAAAACCATGGGCCCAGGAAAACCCTCTTTGTCTGGTGTTGTGTTAACTTTGGCAGGGGGCAAGGTGGCAGGGTTGAGGTGAAACTATGCTTCTTAGCCTTCTAATTCCATTTTCATTCCATGTACCTTGTGGTTGTCTCACGTTAGTGTCCAAGTAATGGAGTTTTAAAAAAGATACTCTGGTCTGGGGATAGTTGCTAGCTGAATGTTCTGTAGAGAAGAGTAGAGTCTGGGACTTTCTATTCTTCGTTTTTGCTGACATCACCAGAAAACAAACTCCCTGCCCTGGATACTGAGGTAAGTGAGTAAAGAGGTAAAGCTTGCAAAAATTGCACTGCATTATGTACAGGCTTTAACTGGCTTATGTGAGTCCACACCATGTCCTTATGAAAGCCCTACTGTCTCTCTAATGCAAAGTAAATACATTGTGTGTTGGAAACAAGCCTGTTATCTTGGCCTCGTGAATTATCTAAAATATTTGGCTAAGGCTGGAATGTCGTATACAGTATGCATTCCTAAGAAGTTATTCTTGTGATTCTTTGATTCAACAGCTTCTGTTTTTTTCTGACTCTTTCTGCAGATTAATATTCCTCACATTTTTAAATGGAAATAGATAACCAGACGTGGGTGAGAGAATTTATTCTTCTTGGCTTATCCAGTGACTGGTGCACTCAGGTCTCCCTGTTTTCCCTGTTCTTGGTCACGTACCTCATGACAGTGCTGGGGAACTGTCTCATTGTCCTTCTGATCAGAATGGACAGCCGACTCCACACTCCCATGTATTTCTTTCTCACCAACCTCTCGCTTGTTGATGTCTCCTATGCCACAAGTATAGTCCCTCAGCTGCTGGCACATTTTCTTGCAGAACATAAATCCATCTCATTCCTGAGCTGTGCAGCCCAGTTATTTTTCTCCTTGGCCTTGGGTGGGATTGAGTTTGTTCTCCTGGCAGTGATGGCCTATGACCGCTATGTGGCTGTGTGTGACCCCCTGCGATACTCGGCCATCATGCATGGAGCACTGTGTGCTAGGTTGGCCATCACATCCTGGGTCAGTGGCTCCATCAACTCTCTTGTGCAGACTGCTATCACCTTTCAGCTGCCCATGTGCACTAACAAGTTTATTGATCATATATCCTGTGAACTCCTAGCTGTGGTCAGACTGGCTTGTGTGGACACCTCCTCCAATGAGGCCGCCATCATGGTGTCTAGCATTGTTCTTCTGATGACACCCTTCTGCCTGGTTCTTTTGTCCTACATCCAGATCATCTCCACCATCCTAAAGATCCAGTCCAGCGAAGGAAGAAAGAAAGCCTTTCACACGTGTGCCTCTCATCTCACAGTGGTTTCCCTGTGCTATGGCACAACCATTTTCACTTACATCCAGCCCCACTCTGGTCCCTCAGTCCTTCAAGAAAAACTGATCTCTGTCTTCTATGCCATTGTTATGCCTCTGCTGAACCCTATGATTTATAGTCTAAGGAATAAAGAGGTGAAGGGGGCCTGGCATAAACTATTAGAGAAATTCTCTGGGATAACATCAAAGTTGGCAACTTGACTCGTGAACATCACTTTGAGGAAAAGCTTCGCCTCATTGTTCTCCACCCAACTCAGATATGGCAAGGATAAACTATGTTGCTCTGGCAACCAGGAAGGAGATGATGTAACATGTACTGGGGATGTTATGTAGGAGGCTGAGTGGTTGAGTTGGATGCGGTGTGGGATGTGGGGATAATTTTATATCCCAGCAGTATGATTAGTGGAGTTAGCTACTGCTGTAACAGAACCTTCCACAATTTCTCAATCTCCACTCTTACGTTCTGATAAAAACTGAAAAAAAGTACTACTTACTGTTTTGGTTTGTCACATTATTTATAATCATAGACCTATTCATACATCTTACCTTGGAACAGTGGTTCTTATTTATTGACATTTTGTGAAAGGTTGTAGTGTTTGCATTTAAAACAAAATGCATTTTCACATTTGAAGACTCACTTAAAATAATTGGTTGTTTATGTAGCCACATACAGTAATTATGAGTCAACATTCCAAGAAGGATGTTGTTGTCAACGCTTATTAAAATGATTTTGTGCAGGACTTTCTAAATGTGAACAAAATGTTTTTCTCTGAGTGCTGGAGGTAATTCAGTGAAGAAATATCAACTAAAGTTCTTGTTTTGCCCTGATAGGGTTAAAAAATGGTTGTTTGTAATGAAGACTATTATTAGCCAAGGAAAATAAAAGTTTCAGGCACTACTTCACAGTACTCAGTTTGAGAGGAATTTTACACATAAGAGGTATTGTTTAACATATTAAAATTGTCCAATCTCAGGAAAATTCACAAACTCTATTTTTGAATGTTTAGAAACAAAATAAGCAATAAATTATGAGATAATTTATAAAATATCAAAGACATAGTTAATCTAAGAAATGACACTCTTTAGCCAATACCAGTGAAAAGAAGACAATTTTAGCATGAATTTTGGGGAGTCAGGATAGATGCCTCACCTGTGCAAATGTTACTTTCAAGTTTCCATATTAAGGATATTTCTTATTCCTTCTCACACATACAACAGAGCACTGGTCAACTTTCTAAACCTAGTTATCTGAGCTCGAGAGTGGGCCTCACTGCTGCTAAAATTTCTAAATAATACAAAAGAAGAAGAAACAAATATATAAGGTAAAGAAGGGGAAAGAGGAGAAAAAATATGATAATAGCTGATCATCTCACTTCCTTGAAGTAATCTAAGTCCTGTTTCTTCTTTCAGTAAGTTAATTTTCTGTTCTTCCACTGGTAACCATGTTGTCACAGAACCTCAGGTATTTAAGAAGGTTCATATAATCCAAAGCCCTTTTGAAATATCAGTTTTACCTTAATTACTATTCTGTCTTAAATTTTGCAAGGTAGGCAAGCATCCCCAAAGATGTCAATGGCAGCAAACTAAAACTTCTATTGCTGTTAACTTAAGCATTATCAATAGAGTGTCTAGTACGTGTCAGTGACAATGAATAGTTCTGGAGATTCTGTGGTGAATATGATACAATTCTGGGTTGCATAGCAGGGGTGATGGACAAAGAAGCAATTAAAAGTAATGTTGTAAATATTACAGATAGGGTAAGCCCATCAGGGGTGTCACAGAAATCTTCCTGTTAAAACAAAACAACAGAAAAGATCTAGATTGAGACCAGGAAAGTGAGAGCAAGTTATCCAGATGACAAGGAATTAGAGCAAAGGAAAAACCTGAGCCAAAGTGCAGAGGGTGAGAGTTGAGTATCCAGAAATATCTGGAAGCTGTGCTTGTAGGGCAGAGAAGAGTGAGGAAGCAGTGAGGATGAAGTGGGTATGCATTGATTCATGGTGGGCACTGAATGCCACATTATCTTTCAACTATATCCTAATAGCAATGGGAAGTCAGTAATGATTTTTTTGTTTTTTTGTTTTTGACAGAGTTTCACTCTGTCACCCAGGCTAGATTACAGTGGTGTGATCTCCACTCACTGCAAGCTCCACCTCCTGGGTTCACACCATTCTCCTGCCTCAGCCTTCCGAGTAGCTGGGACTACAGGCACCAGCCACCACACCCGGCTAATTTTTTGTATTTTTAGTAGAGATGGGGTTTCACCATGTTACCCAGGATGGTCTTGATCTCTTGACCTCATGATCTACCCACATCAGCCTCCCAAAGTGCTGGGATTACAGGTGTGAGCCACCGCACCCACCAGAAGTCAGTAATGATTTTAAAGCAGAAGAATGGCTTGATAAATTTTACATTTCTGAAATATCACTGGCAAATGAGATAGAGGAATAAAAGATTGGAAGCAAGGAGTCAATCTAGTGGGCTGCTCCATTAATACCATTTACACACTAGAGGAATCTGAACTAAGGGTGTGACGGTGGTCTTAGGCCTGCAGGGCTGAGCTCAGCAGGCTGGGTGAGCATAGCCAGGTCAGCTCATGGTAAATCCAAAATGGAAAAACATGGAGATCACTGAGTTTTGAAGCACAGGTGCAGATAAAAGGGGAAATTGCATCATTATCATTATAGCAAAAATTTCAAGTCTGATTACCCAGACATTAGGCCTTGATGACCTAGCTCACTATTTAGAAAAGTTATGCTGAGTATGGTGTAATGTTGAAGATACTGACATGAATGACTCACTCTGTGTGGGCTTCAAGGATTATTGATTTATGATGAGCTTCAAGGATTATTGACTTACGATGAGCTTCTATGAAATACAATCTGTCCCCTGCCTATATTTCAACCTATTCTTTGCACTATTTGTTTCTTGGATCAAGAGCAAACCAAGTTGGAAGGAAACTGGATCTCCAATCTGGATCAGATTCTGTGGTCTGGTCTGTTGAGGCTTAAGACCATGTGCTCCTGCTGAGTCCTCATAAGATGACCCTGGTTGGGCTCCTGCAGACAGGGAGTTAAGAAGTGTGAAGTGTGTGGTGTCAAGATGGAACAGACACTCCCCAGGCCTCATCCCTCCCTGTGGAGGGAAGTAGGTTGGCTTCCACAGACTTTCCTGAGAGATGGACTGGTCTGGGGCCTGCATGGCTGGGCTGGCAGGCTGGGTGTGTATGCATAGTGTCTGCCTCTGGGTCCTTGTCTTCTGAGTTATGAAATGAATAAAGATACAGCCAAAAATTTTAAAGAAGGGAATGGATCCCTTCTGCTCTAGTGATCGAGAAAGCATACATGTGTATAGAAGAACTGGTTAGATAATTTCATATAAGGAGATTTAGGTGGGAAGAATTTTATAAGTGGCAGATTGAGTATCAGTCAAATCTTAATAGTGAGAAATCATAGGTGTATGCAAGGGTATAATTTTTCCAAAGCTAAGGTTATGCAGAGAATTAAATTATCAGGCTAAATGTTTCCAAATGCATATTCATTAGCCTATATCCTAGGCTTCTTACTATCCAGGGCTTTCTTCTAAGGGGCTTGTTGTAGAGGTCTGAAATAAACCCGTGACTTCAGTTGTGACCTGATCTGATCAGTGTCTAATTCTGTGGCAGGGACTGGCTAGTTGCTAATTGGACTTATTTTTTTCTTCTCCTTGGTACAGAATTAAACTAAATATGAGCCTCTTTCTGAAGGCAGCTATGGCCACAGGACCAAGTTCTAACCACTAGAGCATGAATACACAGAAAATATGCCACCTCCAGACCTGGCTGGTTGAAACCTCCTGATCGCCAGCCTCTGGTGCTTATTGTCTTGCTCTGAAATCATCTCAATCTTGGGACTCTAGAACAGGGTGGGCCCAGGCAGTAGAAGAGTCCCTGGTGGACAAGGTGTGGGTCCTGAGTCACTGATAGGACGAGAGTTACCCAAAAGAACCACTTCACCAGTATCACCTACGTAAAATTTTGTGTAAATGGGAAAGAAAGTTTTTTTGTGCTAACTGATGGTTATTTTAGAATTGCTTATTTCAGCAATTAGCCTACTGAAGAACACATAAGATTTTTATTAATATAATCATTTCAGAAATATCCTTAGGATATCCATTTAGAACTATACTACTTATAAATTACAAATGCTTTTTGTCTTCAAGTAACTCACAATGTTATCTGTTTCTTATAACCTGGACTTTGTAAGTATTATAAATGTGTTTAGATGGCTTTAGATTTTCAACTTTTAAAGTAAATAACCAGTACCGAGAATGTTCAATCAAAAAGCTTCAAGTCTTTATGGTATAAACTGATGTTGAACCAACACTGCAAAGTCCGTAATTTGCTTTTGATTTTTTTGAGCCTAAATGCTATGCTACTATTAATAAATAATAAGGAATGCTTTTTAATATTGTATTCTTTATTAAGGTATGATTTATATACCGTGAAATTCACCCTTTTTATTCTCAGTTCTATGTTTTGAAAAATGCATGTAATTACATAAACACCACCACAATCAGGATATATGAGTTTCATTTCCCCAAACATACCTTTGTGTTCCTTTGTGCTCAGTTTATTTTCTTGGACATCACTCACTGGTGATCACTAATTAGATTTCTGTCTTTATATGCTTGCCTATGCAAAATATCATATACATGAAATAATATATGTAGCATGTAGCTTTTTTACTCTGACTTTTATCTTTGCATAATGCATTGAGTTGCACTCATGATGTTACATGTTACAGTAGATCATTCTTTTTAATTGCTAACTAATATTCCATTATATGCATGCATAATATGTCAATTTGCTATTTTGAAGTACATTTGCATTGTTTCTACATTTTATAATTGGACCAAAACTATTGTAAACATTCAAGTACAGATTTTTAGGTAAACATAAGTGTTTATTTCAATTGGGTAAAATAAAATCTCCTGTAGGAGTCGTATGGCTAGGCTATATGCCAAGAGCATGTCTATGTTCATAAGAAAGTGCTGCACTACTTTTAAATGTGATTGTACGCTTGGCATTTGCATTTGCATCCATACTATCATATATTAGTTACTCCACATCATTGTCAACATTTACTAATGATAATTATTATTATAGTATTTTATTTCTAACTGACAAATAATACTTGTATATATTTATGAGATACAATATGATGTTTTGATATATGCATATATTGTGAAGTAATTAAATCAAGGTAATTAACATATCCATCCCCTCATACACTTATTTTTTGTGATGATAACACTCAAAATTTATGCTCTTAGCAATTTTAAAATATGCAATACATCATTATTAATTATAGTAATCATGCTGTGCAATAGATCTCAAAATATATTCCTTCTGTCCAAAAACTTTTTACCCTTTCACCAATATCTCCTTGTTTCCCTCTGTACCCCACCCCCACCACAACCTCTAGTAACCATCATCATACTCTCTACTTCTATGAGTTCAACT